CCTGCCACCTAGAATCCATGCTTACGCACAGCTGTCAGATTGAGCTCTTTGACTTCACTGCCGGCCCCATGGTGCACTCAGGAGAGTGTGGCGCTGGGAGCGCAGCGATGCTCCCGCTGCGGGTTCGGATCCTATATAGGACTGGCCGGTGAGCTCACTAGAAAGCAGCACAGTGGAGTGGTTAATGACACCAGCGTGAAAAAGACCTGGGTTCAAATCCCAATGCTATCCTAAAACTACCTGTGGGACCCTGGGAAAATTACTGAACCCCTCTAGAGCTCCATTTACCCATCTGAAAATCGGGTTGGTAAAACCTACATCATAGATGTATTACACAGAGTAGATGAAAATGTCTAAAAACACTTAGATTTATAACTTTATATTTTCTTCACAGCAGCATGAGCCACACTGTCCAAGACAGAAAAGGAGCATCGTCCCTATTCCTTCTTGTCTCCTCTCCATGTCCCCCTGCCTCTCCATACAATCATCCAGTGTGTCCATTTTACTCCCTCACACACCTCCCGTGCACCCCTTGTCACTCCCCAGCTCAAGGCACCATCACCTCTCAGTCGGAGCTCTCATGCGCCTGCCTCTTGCTCCCTCTCACCCACTTGGCAGAAGGACTTTCCTAATGTGCAAAGCTGCTCTCATCACTCGCCTGCTAATACTCTTCAGTGGTCCCATCCTCCTCAGACTAAAGCCCAAGTGTCACTGGCTTACAAGAACCTTTGTGATCTGGCCTCTGCTGGCCCCAGCAGCCCCAATACCTCTAATCTGACCTCCAGGCACACTGAACTGCTTTCAATAACAACATGCCTGGCCTCTCACCTCCTGGTCTTCACACACTCTAGCCCCTGCCTCTGGAAGGCACTTTCTTATCTATTTTAGCTGATGAGATTGCTAGGAAGCAAGTGGAAGCACTTGGCAAATGTCAGCTAGTGTTATTTTCTCCTTTAAAAATCTTTTTCCTCAAAGTAGCTCTGTCAAATTATGACATTTAGCTTCCAAAAAATTCATTTGCTTGATGTGATACTATTCACTGACAGCTCTATAATCTCTACATAGGAGGGGCTTTGAGACCGCAGTCTGCTGGAAGAGGATTTGCCTCAAAACTGCATTTGCAGAGCAGGCAAACCATTCTGACTTAGCTTATATGTTTATTTGTAGTGGC